TTTAACAATAAATTTAATGGACTGCAGAGCTCAAGTACAGCATACCAAAGAAGCTGTCACTTCAGTTTTTAATTCTGGGGCAAACACTTGTATTTCTGATTACAGAGGGAATTGCTGTTGGGTTTCACTAAACCTTCTTGCTCCTTGATCTATTTATTTCCCTTTTAAACCTCAATGGAATACACATTTCTCTAAAATCAATGTGCACTGTATTTCTGAGTAATATATTCTAGAAGAGCTTCCTAGACAGAAAAAAAATTCTGTGCCATCCAAATAGCAGCCTTCCACTGATGAAATGTATACAATGATCCTTTAAATTCTTTTTTATTGTTGTTGTGTACAGATATGTATGGTATAGACACAAATAAACTTAAACAGATAATTACAATGGTTCCTTTATGTCCTCCTTCTGCAACTAAGCACAAAAATAGGATTATATCCTATATTCTCTAAGTAGATTTTTTTCTCACAATATTTCCCCCCCTTCTAGGCATAAAAATCATCGTGTCCTCTGAAACCTGCTCCATAGAATCACCACCAAAATGGATTTATATCTTTGTGTGTGGAATGGGTGAGGATATTTCATTTTGCTACTGGCAATAGATGCCATTCCACTATGGATGGGCACTATGGAAGGTAAGTCAATTATACTATGACAACTGGTATAGCATCTTTGCAAAGTCAATCAATTAATCAGTCAATTAATCAAATCTCACCAGACAAAGCTGAATAAGAACCAAAATACCCAAATTATACTTAAAATAAAATCAGAGACACAGAGACTTAACAAATGAAGGCGAATATATGTGTCTCAGGATAATGTTGCAAATCCAAATCGGATCCTACAACAGAGACTCAAGAAATTGATTATGGATTCTTGCAATTTCTAGATTCATTTTTTAAACAGGTATGGAATGTTCACAGTTTTCCCTGCTGTAAAAATATCTAATATTTACAATGTCTAGAACAATAGTTTAGATTCTTATCAAACATATTACACTGTATTCTCAGGTTCTTTTAAAGAAAGGCTAATCCTAGGAAATATTAGAATATTTCAAACATACAGGCTCACTAAATACATTTGAACAGGATAAAAAAAAATGCCTAGAAACCAATATTTTATATATGCATGGCTTTAATTGAACCAAGAGTGTTTAATTGTGATAAAATATTCTAGAACCACAAGTTGCATGTTTGCTAACTTGTCAACCATATATACTGTACCAACTTAATATTCAATAAAGGAGTGATTCTTTTTCATGTAGATATTTTTTACTCTTAAACTATGCAAACACTCCATTTTGTTTCATAACGTGCTTTTTTTCCATAAAAGTTAAGACAAAATAATGGCTCATTAAAATGTGAAAATAAAACAATATATCATAATAATCTTTAAATTAGCATTTCATTGTAGCTCTAGTGATTGGGAAAAAGTTGGAAACAAAAGCGCATAAAAACATATCAGATGGGATATTCTATCCCCTTGGGAGAGAGGTAGAAAACATGGCTAATGCAAGAGATTGTGAATAACAAACAAAAACTTGCTTAATATGCTTTGGAGTTTAAATTTAAGCCAGAGCTCAGAACATGTGAAAAATATTCTGTCAATGTATTTGTTGTCTTTTTTTAAAAGGAGAACACATCTTCTTAGTCTAAATGCCCTTACTGTGTGAATATAGTAGTTCATTTATTTATTATTAGTTATTTAATAATATTAAATTAATTTATCATTATTAAAATATGATTTGTTTATACCCCAACTTTATTATTTTTATAAACAACTCAAGGTGGCAAACATATCTAATACTCCTTCCTCCTTTTATTTTCCTCCCAACAACCACCATGTGAGGTGAGTTAAGCTGAGAGAGAGAGCGTGGCCTAAAATCACCTAGCTGGTTTTTCATATCTAAGGCAGGACTAGAACTCCTGGTTTGAAGCCTGGTGCCTTAACCCCTAGATCAAATTCTTCATGTATTAGCTATAACAGAATCTGCTTATTTCTAGCAAAGGAAAACAAAATAGTATATATAGCAATAGCAATAGCACTTAGACTTATATACCGCTTTATATGCTTTACAGACCTTTCAAAGCGGTTTACAGAGTCAGCATATTGCCCCCAACAATTTGGGTCCTCATTTTATCCACCTCAGAAGGATGGAAGGCTGAGTCAACCTTGAGCCTGGTGGGATTTGATCTGCCATATTGTAGTAGTAGCTTGCAATACTGCACTCTAACCACTGCGCCACCGAGGCTCTCTATATATTATTGACATAATTTGTATTAAATATATTTATGACCCAGAATAAAACATTTTTTAAAAAATATAAGTGTAGTGAGTTAAGTGTGAGAGTTTGCTGTGTGTCGCTAAAATGCACTTATATATACATTTGACAATTTTTTAAAAAATAACATGGATAGTTCAACTATCTTTTAGCTTCTGGGTTAAATCAGTAGAATTGTATCTATAGTCACGATGGTGAGATGATCTTTTATGTTCAGCACAATACATAGGGTTTGGAGCTCTAACTGACAGTCAAAGTAGCATAATTTACAGAAGATTTGTCATTGTGCATGTACAAGTATCTCTATAATAGCTGTTTATTAAACTTGCAGAATCTTAGAACTAAGATTATTGCTCTATGTCTCACAATGTTTTCCCTAAGAGACTGTGGGAAGTGATGAATTTAGGCTGGTAAATTTAAATATTTGACTAAGTAACTCCTTCTTCAGAGAAAAGTTTGTAGACAGGCCATGCATAGCTTCCAATTACTTAGTTACTAGTTCCTGGTAATTTGACAAGCATCTTTCAAACTGTGTTATGACAATGAAGTTTCCAGCTGAGTCCTTATAAATTTTAAAATATTGGACAAGTCTTTCTCATCTAAGGCAGAATCGGTCTCCTTAATCACTAACGGATTTATTTCTAGGAAAGAAAAATCCATTCAAATCATGTCAATTTTGATATGCGGCACCAGACCTTCCAACATACCATTCTTCTATTCTTCTCATTAGACACTGCTCAAGACTAACTCTAGTTCATTTGTTATTCATAATATAGAATTATATTATTTTGTAGCAAATTTTCCAAAAGCCAAAACGTCCCACCAGAAGAGGGATCAAACTTAATGGCTTTATGAAAGCTTGGCTAGTCGAGGCATCATGTTGTATTCTCTGACATCAGAACTAAATCTGTAAAAGGCTTTTACAAATGGATATGTAGCACAATCAATGCATTTAAGGATAATTAAGAGAATAGACAATAATATTGTTTGATTTGGCAACTAATTCAAATCAATATCCAGAGTAGAAAGCTATGAACTTTCCCTCAACTCTGCAATCTTTTTATACATCCAAAATATATACATACAGATAGCCCTTACCAAGGGAAACAAATTGTGTTTATAATCTTCCTTCACTTTACGGACCTAAATAGGAGGATGGGTCACAAAGTCACTTTTTTATTACTCTTCTAAAGGTAAATTGTTGCTACATGAGGCAGTACTTAAATGAGGACTACCTGTACTACCAGGATAAGTTCAATAGGTTTTGTTTTGGTGCTTCATTTGTAACACAGCATAGAAACAAAAGCAGAGTGTCAGGTAGAAGCAAAAACATCACTGCTGGTCATAACATTACACTTAGTAAATTAGAAAACTATCTGCACCTAGGTAAGGAATTTCTTACTAACAGCAAATATGGCGGGGTTTTTAATAAAAAGCAAAAAATCTAAAACTTTAGAGGTAATTCCGCAAAGTAAACAACAGCCATGTTCTGTCTAATTCACACACTGCACAAACAATACAGGAATACATACAGTGCACAAGAGAGGAAAAGGAGGAGAAACTAGCAAGTTTTTATTCCATAAATTAGACTTTGAAGACTCAGATTAGAGAAATGGTGACTGAGCTTTTACTTGGTAAAAATATGGGTTAGAATGAAAAAAAAAAAGGGGGGGGGGATTAGAATGAACCCAATGATAAAATGGCCCTGTAGCTGCTTCCCTGATTTTTTGTTTGTTTGTTTGTTTGCTTAGGGGGCTTGGGAGACAGATTGGTGGATGTGAAATATAGGAAGAGTGTAAGAGATGAAAGAAAAGTTTGTTGCATAAATGGAAATTTGTGACAGAGGCATACATACTTCAGATCCATCTCTCCACCTTTTTTTTTCTTATTGCTAGGTTATTGTTTTTCCCCACTTTAGCGAAAATTAGGTCTGATGCATAAAAAAGAACACTGAATATTTATGTTTGGGGCACATTCAGTATGCCACTCAGAACTTTCCATGAAGCCAAATACCATTTTTTTTCAACAAAAATACCATTTTTCCCCAACATACTGAAAAGGGATGTGATGAGAAAATTCCCGAAAGCTAATGTTTAAATTACTAAAATGAAAATCTCAAATAATTGTCCATTAAATAAGAGCTGTAATGGAGGAAATTAGCAGCTGGAGAAAAGTGTAGGAGAAATAGACTCATCCTCTTCCTCCAAGACTACGGATCTACCACGAGGCCAAAATAATGAAAAATGAGTTGCATGGAACTACAATAAGTCACATGGTTTATGCTGTGATAAACAGTTCATCGTTTTGCCCTCTTGCTCCCCTGATAGATTTCCACGTACAGTAACATGCCCTGGATTTCTTTATGGAGATTTTCAATCATCCAAGTCATGGTTATCCCAAAGGTGCTTTTTCCATAAGGCAACTGGACTTTCCTGGTTTTTCCCCCATTAAAAACATTTCGCTTCTCAACCAAAATGCTTCTTCAGTTCTAACTGATTGGTGGGAAAATTCTAGGCTTTGAAGACTTGGAGTAGACAAATGGTGACCACGTTTTTCCTGGGTAATAATAAATTGTATTTAAACATACTCTGTATTTAAAGTATCTATGGCTGCTATTTGAAAAGAAGTGTTAAGAAATTCCTGTCTAATTGCCCTCGGTTTATTATGATTCAATGGGTTACATAAAGAGAAAATACACAGTTCAATTTATTAGTTTACCTATTAAATGGCTTTGATTTCTTGAATCTGGGAGGTTATCTTCTACATCCTCTTGAAAGTTTTCTCTCACTACCTTGACCTACATGACATTAAAAAAAGAAAACAATAAAAATCTCTTTCAAGTATCTCTTCGGAAGAGCACAAGATAAAAGCCAAATGATTTCAGAACACACACACACACACACACACACACACACACACACACACACACAATTTTTGTTCTTTTTGTTATCACCTTAGTGATAATATCTTAATATAACTTCCAAATCATACACAGTAAGAATTTAAAGTCACTTCATCCTGTGATTAATGACTTCTAAATTGGTTCTAAATGCTTGAATAAAAGCAACATCATGCAGCTATCAGAAACAAATTTTGAAGACAAATAATCCTTAAAGGAAAAACATCTTCTATGATTCATTTTAACAAAAGCAAAGAAATAGAGCTAAATCTCATGAAGGCATAAATTACCCTCTTTGAAAATATTATGTGTCATGATATTCATTTATATTAATAACATGAGATGCCCATGAAAAGTACTAGAGGAAGTTCCTTCCTAGGGTGCTAATATTATTTAGGCTTTATGCCAATAACTACTGGCAAACCTTTATCAAAGTGCAATGCATTATTGTTATCAGAGGTGGGACTAAACATAAGCAGTGGTTTATAAAGTCACCACATTCTATTCTCCCTAGTATACATCAAATTCAAACTGATTAATTAATTTGGGGAAAAGTCCCAGAACTATTGAGATATAATGTCTATCTAGTTCTAGGTCATTTGCAGAAGAATGATACTGAAACAGAATAAATTATAACCATTGTGGTGGTGGTTCACTATCTTTAATAATATAGCATTGGAATATTTACTTGTCCACTTTATATACCACTTAGTTAAACGGTGCCTTAAATGTACATGAAAAACAACATTACCAACAAATGAATACTACAGTCTAATTTACCCAGAGCTCATAAGCATTTGTGGGCTGGGTCAACTGTGTTAGCCTTGAACAATTTCATTACTTCTGACCCCTTCACGTACAACTACATACGAATGGTTCCTACCAGTTGTGAGATAGAGCAGTAGAATAGCTAGAATAGAATAGTAGAATATTTGTACTAATTATTAACATCCTCTAGGCAATTGGGCTTCATTGTTGTTAAAGGAATATGTAACTGCATACATACACAAATTGTTAGAGCACACAATTGCTCATAACATCATTCTGGTCTTGAACAGTCTGTATGCACCCACTTAATGAGATCCTAAGCCTTTAATCAACCCATTGTAAAAGAATTGATGCTACAACTTATCAATAAATAAAATGTTTGAAAGTCCACTGTTAGATACATCACTTAAGTAGTCCTTTTCTTTTTTTATTCCAAATAGTTTAATGACCAAATGCTAGTTAATTTATTGGCTGATTTTTATATATATATAAAACGGATTTTAAAATTGTACAAAGCAGTAGCATATGTAATCCAAGCAGTATGTTCTAATAACACTTTGATTTTTGACTTAGCAGAATACTATTTGGAGAAATAATAAATAAAGCCTTTTCAGCCTATTTTGTTGTTATGAATAAAATTATAATATTATTATATTATAATATATTAATACTATACCATGATATATCGTATTATATTAATACTATACTATTATATATTCTATTCTATTATATATTATTATATATTACATCATACACACATACACACAGAACCATCTTTATTCTTGTCCAATAAAATGAAGTGTATTTCTTAAAGATATAGCTGAATGGCTAGGATAGTTAAATGGCTAGGATTGCTACGATTGCAAAGACCTTATTATTAAAGGAGACAAAAATGCTTTTAAATTACTGAGCCATTAAACAACAAGAAGAAAGTTTTAAAAGAAACGGTAATATTGTCTTGGTTTCCCTCCCCCCCACCCCTCCCCCTCCCTTTCTTTCTGTACAGTGAAGATATACCCTAAGCTGTCAGCACCATGTTAAATGGGGCATAGTTAAATTGAGTGGCTGTGATAAGGGGCTCTGCTCTGTTATCAAAATTCTAGATCAGCTGGATTGAATTTCCTGCATATGGCGCATTTCCAGGCTTCCATTCTTTCTCTTCCTTTCAGTGACATTGCAAGGGCAGACTTAGATATGCATATAACTTGTGGTTTTATAATGCAGGGAACATCTACATTTTCAAAGAAAAGTTGATACTATAGAAGCTACTGCCGGCTTTTTTTTTTTTTTAAAGGCAGAGCGAAGGGGGGGGGGGAAACCCAGTTTTGTTAACACATTCACATGCACATACACACAAGTCTTGGAAAGGTTCTTAGTGGATGACCTTGCACATCTTCCAGGAACGGTTTTATTTTCATGGAAGTAGGTAAAAATATGCATAAGTTCAACTATTTACAAAATCTGCACTACTCTTACTATTAATCTACTCATCACTCCTTATCACCCATGCCCTCCCACTTGTGATTGTATGACGGTAACTTTGTCGCTTGTATCCTTACCATCTATATGAACTGTTTCCTAGTATGATTTGATTGCTTATGGTATCCTATGACTATTACTAAGCGTTGTACCTTATGATTCTTGACTCTTGACAAATGTATCTTTTCTTTTATGTACGCTGAGAGCATTTACACCAAGACAAATTCCTTGTGTGTCCAATCACACTTGGCCAATAAAAGAATTCTATATAATATTCTGAAGTCGATCATTTTGTCCTTAAGCATCATAAAGACTATTTTGACTTTGAATTCCCACCAGGTGGAACATCTACATTATGTTTTACCTCTTCACTATATATCTGAGAAATGGGTTTATATTTCAAACTTTATCAAAAACAGGATTGTTTGTTTTATTGTTATTTTGTGTTATAAATATCACAGGAAGAGCTGACATGCAGAACAAATATTTTTTCATTTGTGCTTGATGTAACAGCCTACTTGGAGCAGATGTTATCCCCAAGAAGGTTTATTTTGTGCACTTCATTCATGAGATAGTTCTTAGACAGCAGTCTGTTCCTTAGCCAGCCAATCTAAATTATTCAGAACTTTTAAAAAATGGATGTGCGAGTTCTTCCCAGCCATCCTGAGTGCTTATATAGCAGAAAGGTGGAGTATAGAACTGACACAGGTAATCCTCGACTTACAACCGTTTCATTTATTGATTGTTCAAAGTTACAACAGCAAAGAAAAACCGTGACTGATGACCTTAACTCACACTTATGACTATCGGTCACGTAATCAAAATCCGGACGATATTTATGAGGGTTGCAGTGCCCTGGGCTCATGTGCTCATCTTTTGCGACCTTCTGACAAGCAAAATCAACAGGGAAGCCAGATTCATTTAACAGTTGTGTTCCTTACTTAACAACTGCAGTGTTTCGCTTATCAGCTGTGGCAAGGAAGAACATAAAATGGGGCAAAACTCACTTAACAAAGGTCTTGCTTAGCAACATAAAATTTGGGTTCGGCTGTGATCATAAGTCGAGGACTACCTGTAATAAAACAAACAAACAACAAAAACAAAGTATTTCCTGGAAAGGGGCCTCACATTATATTTTTAAAAAGAATATGGCCTCTGAGGGATTGGAGAAAAAGAAGGGCACATGTCATCTTCTATACATCAGGCTTATTGAGATTGTCCTTATCCCATTCAAAACATACATGCTTAATCCAAATCCCAGTGCATCCATCTTGGCTGTTAAAGAAGCCTGGTTCAAGCCTTTTCATTTCTAAAACAACTACAACTTGCAACAGCAAAATAATTGGGAAACCATCTCTCAGTTCAGAAATTCAGATGACCGTTGCACATCTTCCCAAATAGACAAAGCCCAAGCTTGTGCTGTTTTTAATTTACAAAGTCATCTCCAAATGTCTAACAGGCAAAACCACTGTACATAGGTAGGCTTAAGTAAATATTTAAAATTATCAAGATTATTTTGGGTTGTTGTTTTTTTTGCAATGTTTGAAGCAGCCGATACTAGATACCTAGCCACGATATTTCTTGCAATGTATTCCTTGTGATAGCTGCTCCCTATGAATCACACTTTGAGTTTAGCTAAAAATTACACGGAACTGGTCAGCGCTGCTGTTATTATTTTTTATCTCAATCTGTTTCAATTACTCCTAAGAGTTAAAAAAAAAAAAAAAGAAGGATTCCGTGTAATTTTCAGGGTCTTGCTTCAAAGCACAGGTGGCCTGTGCAAATTTTAAAGCAGGCGAGAGTCAGTTTGCACTGTTTGTTAGTCACTGAAATAGCATAATCGGATTCCCTAATCAGATCACTGGATGTTGACAGTAATCCATCACTCCCCAGTTCTGAACTGTGTCCTTTCACCATACATGAGCATGTAACCTTGTACTAATGCAATAACAGACCGGAAGAAAGGAAATTCTTAAGGGAGACTTCTCTGGTTGCTTACCAAGACCTCGTTTGGTATTTCTATATCAACCTTTGTTTTGCTGTTTTTCTTCTGGTTTCTCTGAGTATTGACAGAGTTGCTGGGAAGAGGGAAACCCTGGGATATGCTCTTCGACACGCTCCTGTAGGAAACATTTTTTGATCCACTTTCTGTCTGCTGGGCTGCCTTCTTATCAACTCTGCAGGTATAAAGTGATTCCTCTGATCAATTATGTTGCCCTTCTTCAATCATTCTACCTTCCCTTCTGCTTCTTTCTTTAAGTTTAGTGAAATCACCCTGTGTCTTTTTCCCCCCTCTGGACTTCTGAGTGATAAATGTTGCTAACTAGCCTTGATCAAATCTGTCACTTGCAATTTCACAGACAAAATTAGACTCGCCGTTCAGGTATAATGATTCGTTTTAAATGTTCTAAGACCGTGAACCAACTTGGAAATTATCGTACAATTATTTCTGGGTGTCTTTGTGACCTAAAATCCGGGAAGCGGTGAAAGTAATTACTTTTGTGGGTTATCTTCTTTGTATACTAACAATCTGCCTCCAGTTACAAGGGGGCATTAAAGAGAACACAAAGGCAGATGCTGCATTTTTTAAATAATCTCTCCGTGATGGATGTATTAAATAAAAATGCCACGCTTAAAAACTGTATTCGTTTTAATAAGGCTGACTATTCTTTAATTTCAAAGACCACTGACCTGGCTAACAAAAAGCAGATAGAAATGATCAGGGCAGCCATGTGGAGCTGTTTTTATGGGGATATGTCACTCTATTTGGCAGGTGGTGGTGGTGTTTTGCATGTGTGAATGCACATCTGCATTATAAACAGCTGTCTCCCCTAAAAAAAGAAAAACAAAAACGAAGCAAGAGCTGGCTGCGAATCCTCTCCCAGGTACGGCAGCATTTTTATGGGAGATTCCTACTTCCCCTTTGAAAGATGGAACAACACTGTGATCCCTTGTCAGCTGTCTGAAATACCGCAGCTCAGCACAGGCTGCCCTTTCTGAAATTGCACTGTTTGATCATGTTCAAAGCTAACAAGCAAAATTATCAGAACGGGGCTGTTTCTCCCCGTTATTCAAGAATATGCAATTTCCTACAGTCTTGGCCGAGATGAATCACAAAAAAAAAAAGCAAATTACAACTGTCAAAGCAACAATTAAAAGCTGAAGAACAATCAACAGAGCAGATAAAATCAACTCTCTCTCCCCGCCCCCCCCCCCCAAAAGGATGAGAAACAAACCAGGTGAACTATTGTTCTACTAAATTTTTTTAAAAAAATTCCAACAAGCTCCAGGCCATAGTAAAAAACAACAACACCCTACCACTAAAGAGGAAACAAAGGGAGATTTCTGTAGAATGAAATGTCCTTGGGCTTCATCACAAGGCTTTAAAGGATTTGTAATCTATCACCAACTTCTAAAGAAATGGCACTTTGAGTGCTAGTTCAGTGCCCAAATATGACTGAGTTGCGATTAGGCTGGCTGATGAGGTCCTAAACCCTTTGAGCCAATGAAAAAAGGGCAAGAGATCTGTGCCTGTGTGTGTCTGTGCCTTTGTTTAGTTATGTTTGAATTTCCAATAGATCCAATGCATTAAAATTAGAATTATTTTTAGAATTACTAATAGAACTTGAAAAGTTACCTTATCAAGCTGCTGTAAACCTGGCATCTCTTTATCCTGCCTCTTCTCTGCCCCCTTTTGTGCTTTCTTTTTTGGCCAACAGATCTTTGGAGTTGGTTATTGACAGAAGTTTCTTTTGCCTATTTCTCTCACTCCACTCCAGCTAGCCCATAAATCTTTGGGCTTCTCTCTTTCTGAAGCTATTTAGATGATTGCAAAGTTCTTTTTCCCACTTTTAACTCCACTACTCTGCCTTGTTAAGTAAGTGTCGTGTAGTTTCTAAAGAAGCTTGCAGTGATTCACGATTAAAATGGGAAGACAAAATGCTGCTGAGAAAGGGAGAGGACAAAATTTAAAAAAAAACCCAAAAGATGGTCACGCTGTTCTAAAAGGGAAGATTCCAAATCTATACATATGCTAAAATTCTTACCTGTGTAAAAGCTCTTTCATGAAGTTGTCTTTTCCTGAGTAGGTGGCAGTAGGGCTGCTTTTCTGTTCGGATCTTGCTTGGCTTGGGTTACCATGTACAGCTTTTGCCAATTTTTTTCCTTTGGGAGCACCATCTAAAAGGACAGAAGTTTTCCTGTTCAGCTCGTTTTCAGCTTCACAGGGTTGCTCGCTTTTCTTTTTGTCTTTCCTTTTTTCGGATTTTGCTTGCTTACTTCCAAAAGCGGAATTTTTCGTCTCTTTCTTTTCCATTTTGACTTTTGAGGTATCCGTTTTTCGGCTGTTCAGGGCTGGGAGTTTACTTTTGCGGAAACCAAACCAGCTGGCAAGAGAAGGGCCCCCATTTTTTGGTTTCATCTCAGGGCCAGATGGGTTTTGCCCTTGTCCTTTCTGCATGTTCTCTTGGATGCACAACATCACTTTTTCTTCTATTGTAGGATGTGAGATGATTGAAAGCGAAGCCTTTCCAGAGGTTTCGGGACCACTTAAACAGGTTTCTGGCAATGCTGCCTTGCTTCCTTCGGTTTTATGATGACGCTCAATCCTGTCCATGTTTTTCTGAAATGGGAAAATTTGGCCTGGGGAAACAGTGGTTTGGTTGATTTCTGTTTGGGTAACACTTTTTTCCATTGCTGACTGACTCTTGGAAATGTCACTGCTTTCTTCATCTTGGCCAGGTGTATCTGGAACTTCACTCTGGGATGCTGATTTGTGGATCCCCCTTTTCAAAACACTGGTGCACAGATCTCCTTTCGGAGACGTTCGAAAGGGCAGCTTGCTTGGGTTGCTCGTCTGACTACTGGAACCACTCACTTTTGCACAAGCGCCTGGCCGAGTGCAAGAAACCGCAGGAGCCGCCTCTGCTGTCCCAGCCGATTCGGAAACAAACTTCATTTGTAATCCCTCCCCTGTCGAGTTTTGCCGGGTTAAAGAATTCCCTCGTTCTGATGTATTTGTTATAATCTGTGTTCTCACTTTTCCCAACCGTTCTGGGGAAGGTGCATGCAATAGTTCTTCAGTATAAATACTGAAACTCTGACTACGGGCCTTGGCTCCAGTCATACCAAGAGCTGGCTTCAGGTATGCTTTATTACTAGAAGAAATGGATCTTTTAACAGATTTGTTTTCAAATCTGTCCGGCTCTATCAAATTGCAAGTTTCAGGGGAAATAGGGAAAGCTGGGTCCATTTTGGTTTTCTTTGAGAAACTTTCCTTTATTTGGGGCTCTGGGCTCCATTCGTCAGGGTCCATTAGGTCTATAGTGGTTTGAGGTGAAGATTCACCTTGCCTCTGTTTATCTGAATTCACGCTGCATTTAGAGGCTGCATTCATACAGTCTTTTTCCTGCTTTCCTGGCACAGTGGAACTCTTTCTGACAAAGCGGGGAGATGTTATGAATAATTTCAGTCCCACAGACAGATGGGGTTTCAGGACCTTGCCAGACAAGTTTCCATCATCCCTGACCTGAGATAACAATGGAACTGGAGAAGGGTTAATTTGAGGCAGAACACTCTGTTCCCCAACCGTACTTATGTGATGCTCCAGTGAAGTGGAGAAACTCTCAGGAAACTTTGGTTTCTGAGGTACAGCAGTCTCCTGAGACAGGGAGCTGGTATCTTGTGTTGTGAAAGTTGTAGGGACAGCTTTGGAATTATACAGTTCTTGGTTGCTGTAAAACATGGGCAAGTTCAAATTTGGTGGACAAATTTTCTTGGTGAAAATCTTGGAAGACACTTGGCTTGTGACAGGGGATTTTTCTGACATGCATTTGCCGTCTCCCTTGTCCTGAAAGTGGTTGAATTCAACTTGAGGTGTGGCAGGCAGTTTATCAGTTTTTGTTGCATGAAGAGCGACATTGTGACAAACAGACAGTGAAGTTCCTTTCTGTGGCGACAACTGAACATCTTTTCTTGTATCGCTAAGAAAACCTGCTCCTGGTTGGTCAAGAGCAGGGGGTGAATGTTCATAATGTGGTCTAATTAAGACTGAAGCTGATCTGCCAGGAGGAAGGGGAGGGGGAGGAGATCTGGCCTCCACTGGTGGCCTCTCACAATGGACATCTCTGGTTGGTTTCTCTTCACTATGGACAGGCTCCAGAAGATGCTGAGGGAGGGCAGTTGATTCCGAGAGCAAATTCTTAGTTTCTGGATAGGCTAACATCTTGCAGTTATTCAAGCCTACTTTTGAATTCTGATTTGGATTCGGCATCTTTTTGTTTCTTGACCATTTTGCAGGGGAGAGTGGACCTTTATCCAAGGTCTTAAAGCAAGGGGAAGAGACTAAAGGACAGTTTTCAGGCATGGCCGCTTTTGCTGTCTGTGGTAAAAACTTGTCTCTGCTGGATACTCTTGTTAACCTGTGTTTTTGATTATTACCTCCCTGGATACAAGACGGGGAGCTCAAATTAGAAGAAATACTGCATGCGGGCTTGGTTAATTTTTGTTGAGAGATATTTTGACACAGTGGTTTTCCAAAATGTATGGGACAATCTCTGACATGGGGAGTAGGGACATTTGCACAGTCGTCCTTGAAATCATTTGGGGGAGTTTTTCTCTCTGCTTTATTAATGGGTATTTGCATAACATGGCAGCTTTTAGCATCTATTGCTTTCTGCAAATTAGATACTCCCTGAGATAAACACGTAGTATTTTCTGCATCGCAAGGCTGGTGAATGGAAATTTCATTTCTAGTTACAGTAACAATTCCAGCCTGATGTGAATTAAATTCAATAGGTTTGCCATCTTCAGCATCGAATATTACAGTAATACATTCTTCTGAAGAAGTCTTCTTTATAATTTTTTGCTGCTTGATAAAATTACATGCTTTTGTCCTGATGTCTGAGGGAGGGGCTTGTTTTTCAGAAGATGCCAGCTGAATGTTTTCTTTCTCCCCAAGCACACCACAGCTCTCGGCGTTCTTTTCTGCAAAGGGTGCTAATGACAAATACGGCGACGGGTTTTTCTCGTCGCTGCTCTCTACATGTAATTCATCAAGGATTTCATTGTCATCAGTATCTGAAAGGTGTAAATTAAGGTCTCTCCAGCTTACGCTGGAAAGGCTTTTATCTATCTGCAGCACAGGCAGCTTCATATCCCTGCATGATTTTGCACCCAACTGAAATCCATTGACAAAACTAGTCAGTTTTTCGGGTTTTTCCTTTGAATTAAAGTAAGACCTTATTTCTGATAAATGCTTTCTATCGGGTTCCCAGCCAAATAAGCTGTCAGAAACACTGTGAGTTAACTTATTACAGTAGTGCCAACAGTTTTTCCTTGGTACTTCATGCAGTAGTGCTAAAGATGAAGAATCATCATCCACATCCTCGTGGGAATCAGAATCATACACAAAGGTTTTTGGGTGATCTAGGCAAGCTGCCTCCATCTCAGGCCTGCTACTGGCCTGTTCTTTATGAGCGCCATACTTAATTCCAGGAGAATAGATTCCTTCGTTAGAATCCATGCAATCTTTATAGCCCCATTTGGATATAACCGAAGGAGGTTCTAATGGTTTTTTTTGCTTTTGCAGCTTCTTCAGCCCGTCCAAAATGTGGTTTTCCTTGATACGAGTTGGAGGTACGTCATCGGCAGGGCTGGAGCCTATACTTATCCTTTTATCCCAGCTTACTGACTAATTTGAAATGGGGAAAAAAGAAAATATATTAAGTTTAGTTGTTACTGCAGAATTAGCAGACAGGAATAAAAATGCAGGTTTTGAACTTCATGCCTAGATGAAAGTAGGAGGAATTTCCACCCCATAAATAATAATAATAATAATAATAATAATAATAATAATAATAATAATAA